AATGTGGCTACCGGGAACTGAACTCAGGTCCTCTGGAAGAGAAGCAAGTGCTCTTAGAGCCACTGAACCATGTCTCCAGTCCCTTAAAAATCATCTAAACATCATTTCAGTTGGACTGCCTTGAGTCTCCAAATCAAAAACTGAGGCTACAGTATAGGGCAGTTCAAATAACAGCATTTTTTTTCTCCCAAGATGTAGGATCCGAAGCCCTTGCAAGCTTTCCTTTACCTGTGATCATCTACGATCCTGGTTCCGAGCTGACAGACATGAGATGTCCTGCATTAGACACAGAGCTAACTCATTACAGAACCACATTTCAGGCCACTCTGGAAGTCTGAAGAGGGTGGGTGAGACGAGAATAGGGGACGTCTTATTTGCAAGGTAACCTCAGTTTTGCCAGTTATTCCAGAGGCCAGTTCACTGAACTCCGAAGCAAGGCTCAGCTTCTTATTTTTCAAACCCCAGTGACCAAGCCAGACCCCGTGAGACACCTAAGTATCTCAAAGGCTGTCCTCACCAGTGTTTCCAGTGGGGAAGCTTTGAGACTTTATCGCTTCTCCTGGAAAAGAAATACATTTCCCCAAAGAGAAAGATTAACAGAAGAAAAGATTACGTGCTCTGGCTTGGAGTGGAAACATCCCTCCAGGTACATCTGTTCAGGATAGCTCCGCCCTCAGCTCTGGAAACCCTCAGGGCTGATACAGTCTTGAGCAGAGAAGCCAAAAGGCACGCTCAGCCCACAGAGGAGTGCCCTGTGCCAGAGTGGTCCTCCTTAGTACCAGTGTACTGAATATAGCCCTTCTAATCAAACTTTCACCGTGAGTCTAGCCTCTGGAACCTTCCTCCTGTGGGAATTCCAGCCCAACCACCATCCATCTGGCTGGTGTAATCTTGAACAAACATCGGCATTTGTAGGGGTTTTCTAATATGCTTTACTCATGTTGCAAGAAGGGAATGCCTAACTCAGCATGATGTTCAAGAAACAAAATTTTATCTGATATTACATTTCTCCTTTGGCTTTTTAATTCTGTATTTCATCATAAACAGGAAGCTTTCGAGTCTTATATATAGAACCGTTAATATTTTTCTTTAAAATTTTATTTATTGGGCTGGAGAGATGGCTCAGTGGTTAAGAGCATTGCCTGCTCTTCCAAAGGTCCTGAGTTCAATTCCCAGCAACCACATGGTGGCTCACAACCATCTGTAATGAGGTCTGGTGCCCTCTTCTGGCCTTCAGGCATACACGCAGAAAGGATATTGTATACTAAATAAATAAATATTAAAAAAAATAAAATTTTATTTATGTTTATATAAGCTTTCTAACTTTAACTTTGAAATGTCAGTAAGCATTCAGACACACACACACACACACACACACACACACACACACACACACACCATGGAAAAGTAGCCAGTGCTCTTTAATGCTGAGCCATCTCTCCAGCCTCAGCGTTCACTAATGATTTATTCTATTTATCTCAGGGTCTTCGTTTATGTTTGGAAGCACCCTGTCCATACCAGTGATCCCCTGGGGCCTCTTGTTAGCTCTGTTGTATTTCCCCCATCTTCAGAGTATGAATCAAGTGAATTATATGGGAGCCCCAGAAATCAGATGCTCAAGACCCTCCCCAGGTGACTGCTGAAGGAGAGAACACAAGCCACTTTAGGGAAGCATTTGGACGACAATCTTCTCTGTCTCTCACTTTCCTTCCCTCTCTCCTCTCCACAATTATTTGTTCTAACTCCAGAGAAGTAAACCGTGCTTGCTCTAAAGACTGAGCGCCATCTCAAACTGCGCATGGCAGGAGAAACTGACCCCTTCGAGTTGTCTTCTGACCTTCGCACACTCGCACACTAATAAAGAAGTGTAATTTAACAATTTAAAGGAAAAATGAGCTGACATTGGACGTAGGCCAAAGAGGGCTCTTAAGGAAAATAGTAGATTCAGGCACTGGGTAAGTGTACGGTTTTGTTTTATTTTTTTTAAAAAAATAATTTATTTTATATACATTAGTATTTTACCTACATGTGTCTGTGTGAGGATACTGGGTGTCCTAGAACTGAAGTAACAGACAGTTGTAAGCTACCCTGTGAGTGCTGGGAGTTGAACCCAGGTCCTCTGGAAGAACAGCCAAAGCGATCTCTCCAGCTCCATGAAGAATTTTTTAATGTCATCCACTTATAATTCCTGATAGAGGCTAAATAAAGGGGACAGATCATTCTAATCTTTTCTCTATCTTCACCTTTCTATGCTTATCTAGATTTTCTATTTTTTATTTTAAAATGGAATTGACTCATTTTATATTAAAAACAAAGGTATTCGTTAATAGTTAAACTTTGTTAAAACACCATTAAAGCATGATGTATCAGACAAACTCCCATCAGTATATGGAGATATCAGGATCTATATCCTGTAGAATCAGATACCCTTTATTCTACAGGAGCAATGCAATACCTATCATTTATCCAACAGCCATTCAACTGCAAGTACATTCATCATGTCCATAGTACCTTTGAAAGTTTATGAGTCTTTCCTTATGTCAGCATAGGATAGGTAGATGGGGGTGGTTATGATTCTTCGCTACACCTGCATACACACACATCTTTGCTTTATCAACCTTTTTTTTTTCTTGCAAGAATTGAGATGGAAAACAAAACAACTTCGTACAATTTACACATGTTCCCTGAGGGTCTCCTGAACCAATGGGGCCTGCCTGTAGCCATCAGATAGATTTTTCTTAGACGGCAAGGACACAATCTTGTTTTGTGTTGGCAGAGTGCTTTTCTACTATGTAGAAATCATTGAATTTGATCCCCAGCATCACATACACTGAAAGCGGTGGTACTCACCTGCAGTCCTTACACTTGGCAAGTGGAGACCAGAGGATCAGAAGCTTAAGGTCATATTAAGCTACAAAGCAAGCCAGTGGCAACGGGGATAAGATGTCTCAAAAAACAAAAGCAAAAACACCAAAACGCCCAGCAATTCATATATATATATTTTTTTTTTTTTTTCATTTAAACCGGTACTTTGGTCTACTCTCACATAAGGTCATTCTAACAGGATGGAACTCATACAAAGGAAAATGAACCACATTTAAAAACAAAAGGGATTGCTTTTGCTAAAGACTCTCTAAGTCACCCTCATAAATGCAGACGTTTTTAAAATTTCTGTGTACGTATGACCCTGCATGAACACATGTGCACCATGTCTGTGTGAAGACCAGAAAAAGGGTTTCAGGTCTCCTGCAACTAGAGCTACAGGCAGTTATGAGCCACCTGCGGGTGTTAGAAATTGAATCCTCCGCTAGAGCAGCTAAGCATGAAGCACAGCTCACTACCTACTGCGCTGGGCTGCTACTGAAGGGAGACTTGAAGTCGGGAAGAGTGCTGTGGCTCCAACTTGACAGTCTCAGCACTTGAGAAGCTGAGGAAGGACTACCATGAATTCCAGGCTAGCCTGGGCTACAGAATAACCCAAACAAAAAGAGCCAATTACAGTGGCACTGCCTGTATTTGAACATTGGGGGTGGGGATGGGAGCTCAACTGGGGAATTTCCAGGAAACCCAGTGGGATCTTGATACTCTCAGTACCCCCAGTGGCGGGGCCAGCAGAGAGCAAAGGATCTAGCCTAAGTGGCCCTAGTTGGCAGGGTGACAGGTCCTAGGAAAGGGCTGGGGAACTCAACAACATATTGGCATGGAAGCCCCCATCACTGCCTACCAGCCTTACATCTAAGCACAGGTGAGCGAGGCCATATTCTCCCTCAGATGATGGCCCACTAATGTTCCACACAGATCCTAACGGGGCAAGGATTTTCCCCATGAAAAGACCAAGTCTTAAGCAAGTGTATCTATAATGATTGCCAGTTTTATTCCTCTGGCTAAGAAATCCAGAGGTAATTCCAGGTTTACATTTCTTTTTAATAGTTCTTCATCAAGAGTTTAGTGCCTTTATTGCCTCTACAAGCTGGTTACAAATTAATTTTAATTAACTCCCACTTATTAAAAAGTTCTTTGTGAGACATATTCATTAAAAAATACAAGCAAAAGGCAAAATTAAAACACACCACACTGAAAGACCCCCACTCACTAAGCAGCAGTAACGCCATTTTGCAAGGCTTAAACTTTGGAGCAACATAAGTAAAATTAGAGCAGGGAAGTTCGACTTGAGAACAAGGGCGGAGAGGCCAGGCAGTCAACCATCTGGCCCCAAGCGATAAGGAGCCAACTAGAAACAGGGAAAGTAGAAGGCCCTCTGGACACCCCCTCCCAGAACCCAAAGCTGGCCTACTCTCATAAGAACATCCCGTTTGCTTAGGGAAACAGGATGCCTATTGTCAGTGAAAGACCCCCACCTAGCAGCATTAAGTTAGCAGCAGCCATAACAAGGTTTTAATTCTTTTAGCAATATAACTAAAAGCTAGGATATGGGAATTCAATTTAGAGATAAGGGCGTTGGCCAACTTAGGGGCAGGGGCGTTGAGCCAGGCAAGATATCTATGGTCAACCATCTGGACTGCCAGCAGGGGACTTGGGGTCCAGAGGAAGAGTTTGAGCCTTAGATGGGCCAAGTCAGCATGCATGTCTGATTTCTTGGAAACCATAGAACTGCACCCGAGCCTTATTTGAATTGTCCAATCAGAACCCTGTAACTATGCGTCTCGCTTCTGTACCCGCGCTTCTGCCTCCCCACCTTATAAAAATTCACTGCCCCAACCTGAGGGCGCGCTTGTCTCCCGAGAGACTAAGTCGCCCCAGGTACCTGTGTACTGAATAAAGCCTCTTGCTATTTGCATCCGAAGAGTGGTCTCGCTGTTCCTTGGGAGGGTCTCCTCAGCCTGAAAGACTGCCCACCACTGGGGTCTTTCAACACAAAAAAGCACTGTTAAGTTTTTTGATACATGTACACATGTATACAAATTTTCCTATATATGTGAGTTGATACTAAATATGCTGCTTTTCAATTGTATAATATGGAATGAACACATTTCCATGCATACGGGTGAAACTTTCCAACTTTTTATTGAAAAATAAACGTGGAAAATGGGTCAAAATCCAAAATCCAATGAGATGCTGGTAACACCGAAACTATCTAAAATACCTCCAGGTAATTAAAAGTAAAATGAAGTTCAAAGATACATCAGAAAATGCTAAGAGAAAGAAAGCAGCAGCCAGATTTCAACATCAGAGAAAAAAAAGATTTCAAGGCCTGAAGCACACAGGATATGGACGGCTTCGGGAATGTCTTTGTTTCCAATGCATCATCACAAACTTGTTTCTTACTCTTCTTATCTCTTCCCTAAGCCTTTCCAACTCATCCACTCCTCTTAACACTTCATCAGGGTTCAGATGCCTTGTGGGAGTGTCCTCTAAAGGTTCAGGGCCGGGTTGAGCAGGCTCTGCATCCTCCCCCACACTTTCTCCAAAAGCCTGAAGATTTCCTCCTGCCTGCTGAGGTGAGTCTTCTGAAGGATGGCCTTCATCTGCCTTTGGTGTATTCTGGGGTGTTCCTTCATTCTCATCACAAGACTTTTGCATGTTGAGTATTTCTTTTTTTTGAATAAATTAACCCTAGGGGGAAAAAAACAAGGAAGCAAAACAGATTAGGTGCTAGGGAAATGAACAAGCTCACGTGTTCCCATAGCGACTGACTTTTCTGATTCAGGTCTCCAATTGCCAAAAAGTTTTCAAACTAGACAAGTCAGGCTCTGAGCTCCTGACTCCACCCCTTCCCTCCCCCTTCTCCTTGCTTTCTAACTCCATCTTCTCCTGTCCCGGCTCCAGCCCACCATTTTCCCAGCAGGCCCTGCAACAAACCTCTCCAAGCACCGAAATGGGAGCAGCGTGGAAGCAATTAACCCTTCCCACACCACATGGCTCTAACACTCCCGCCCTTTAGGGCTTTCCCAAGTCATCCCGTCCTCAGCCTCTCCCGGGCGAAGGTCTGGTTAGCAGCCTCCTCTCTCTCTCTTTTAAATGTCTTTAGCCTCTCCCCTTTATTCTTTCACCCCTTTTCCGCTGCAGGATCTGAACGGGCTTTCTGTGCTTAATCCGGATGGAAAGTCGCTGAGGCGCCCCTGGGATGTGCTTTGGTGTCTTCCACACTTCTACCCCCACCCAGAGGGACCTAAAGCAATCGCACCCTTGCACTGACCTGTAGGTATCTGAAGATTTGCCTCTCTTCTTGCACCTCGATTTATGTCGCGCCCCAAAGACAAGAGTCCTGAAGAAAGACAGGAGTGCTTGGTGAGCATGCCAGTGCGTGGATCAAAAGGTCTCTTTTACGAATATAAGCGTTGATAGCACAAAGTTCTTCCAGGTCCCCCTCTTCTCCCTCCTTTTGTGGCAACCCCGCCTTCATCTGTACCCTCGGTTTCCCAGCAAGAGAGAAAAGAACCAGACAAGTTTTTCTCACATTGTTACTGTTTCTTCTCTCCGTCTCTCTCGTATTTTGCCTTTGCCCCTCTCTTTTCTTTCTCTCTGTGGGACTCATTAACTACCTCCCTCACAGTCTGCCCCATCCCTCACTAAGCAGTCTTAAACCTCTCACACAAAATAGTTTAGCAGAATCCTAAGAAAGAGAAATAGTGCAGGATGAGTGTGCTTTCTGAGCTCTGCTCCCCCCACCCTACGGTCTCTGAGCCAGTGCCCACTAGTAAAGTACCTGGAAAGCGCTGGGTTACTCTTCTCTTGCAGGACTGAGCTGCTACTGAGGAACTGGGCCTGGACTATAAGGACTTCTGCACACGTCGACTGCTGGTCACGTGAGGGTCGCATCATCAATGAGCTCCAGCCCTGGCTTATCCCTGCCATTAACATAACAGCCCGCCCCCTACATTCCCTTCACTTGATACTGTCAATCTTTTTTCTTATTTGCCAATCGGAGACAATAAAACTGGTATCGTCACCAAGTAGTATCTATTCACCTTACTCATGTTACATAGGAAAGAACAGTCTTTTAGGGTACGTCGACCAATTCTCCTAAATTGGGAAGTCATCTCTTTCTCTCCCTCGCACGTTCCCCTCCCCCAAAATCCTACAATCCACCATTTCCCCGGGAATCTTATCCGTCTTTAAAATGGGGGAAGGTTGTAGAAGCACGCTCGTGGGGCTAGGGGAAGGCTGGATGGGGTAGGAATGTTTAGCTTCTAAGGGCAGGACTCTAGCTTCACTAGCCCCCTTGAGTAGTTTTCTGCTGTGTTCCGTTTTAGACAATAGTATGAATTAAAATAATACTTAAAAAGGGATAGCTCCTAAGTATTATTTTACATTGGATGAGAAGAAAGTAACTTGATGAAATCAACTTTAAGATTTCGGAGAGTATTCTAATGGCTACAAGTGAAATGACAGTATTGACAATATACTGATGTGTTGGGATTTTTTTTTTAAAAAAATCTTTCAAAAATGGCAGCGTTTGCAAACTGACTTTTAACCAGAGCCAGTTTTGTCTCCTTAGTTTTGCGTCCACAATCCACTACTCTTTCTGGCTGAGCTTACGCTGTTACTAGCTGTCAGAACTTTTAATTGACGTCTGCTGGTAGCTGCCACTTGCAAATAAAGGCTCCAGACAAATAAAGGCTCGTTTCCTTGTCCTTTTGTGAGAGCCAGTGTCTTTGTTAAACAGAAAAGCCTGCTTTTCATTCAGTGAACTTTGGTGCAACTCAAAGAAATATGTTTGTTGGTAAACTTTTGTTATTAAGAGAAGGATGTTTGTAGGGAAATAGTGCTCATAATGAAGCCCAGAGAAGAGAGCTCTTTGTCACCATTGATGGCTGGGCCGATTAAGCATGTGGGATTTTTCATTCATTCATGGCACTCTTGACACTCTGATAGTATTCAGTGTGCTCCATTGAAACAAGAGCTGTCTCAGAGTACTCCATACCCTGCTGAAGAGTTATTCACACTCCATGTTTATTGCTGCTTTATTCACCATAACAAGGGATACTGTTCAGCTTAAAAAAAGAACGTAGTCATAAAATTTCCAGGAAAATGAATGGACTTAGAATGTATAATATTAACTAAAATTACACATTATCAAAGAAAAAAAATCACATAGTCTCTCTCATATGCAAAACCTAGCCAATAATATATATGTATATATAGGAACAAATGTACATGTGGGGACAGAATAACATGCAAAAAGGAAAACAAGAAAAGTCAGGAGGCCAGAAAGGACTGAATGCAGAGAATAGCCAGGCTATACAGAAGAGGACGTAAACCTAGTTATTTTCTTCTTTTTTATTATTATTTAATTGAAAATTTACATACCAATCCCAATTCCCACTCCCTCCCATCTTCTGTTTACTCCGTCTTTCTCCCACCCCACCCCCCATACACTCCTGTGAGAGGGTAAGGCTTCCCATGGAGAGTTAACAAAGCCCAGAAGGACCAACACCCTCCCCAGGATGTCTAGGCTGAGAAAGGTATCCTGCCAAACACAAAGGACTCCCAGAAGCCAGTTCAAGTATTAGGGATAAATCCTGGCCCCACTGCCAGTGGCTCCAAAGACTGCTACAGCTGTACAACTGTTGAAAGACCCCTAGTGCGGGGAGACTCTCAAGTCTCGGGATAACACGACCCCCCCCTGTAACTCACGAGAGACCTTCCTTGCTGCAATCACATGAGGCTTTAATTGATGAGATGAGATGGGAACCAGTGCACTGGGGCCGAGACTCATAACCCACGCAGAGGAAGAGTTCGACCCCAAGTGACCTGGAAAAGGGGTTTTTATAGAAAGAAACCACAGCCCAATAATCCGAAAGGGGCAGGGAGGGTGTCACAGAAAGTCACCAGGGGACAATGCCCTGCCTCTCAAGATCACTCAAGGTCATAATCAGCTAGTTCCTAAAATCACAAGGGGGAAACTCCCTGTTTCTTAAGATTACAATCTAACTTTATCTTCAGCTAGTGCCTGAAACAGTCACTGAACTGGCTAATCCTAGATTTTTGATTCTTCTTTTCCTGCTTGGATTTTTGGCTATTTTCTTCCTGCTGGGGAGGTCTGGATTTACCCAGGTCTTTCATCTGCTGGATGATAAAAGACCCTAAGTACCAGTTGTACAAGCACACAGTAATCTTTGGTGTCATTAAAAACCTTTGTCTACACGCAAGGTGTCAGGCCTGTGTTACAGGCCCAACATTTAGCTAAACCGGGAACGGAGTACCTGGTGTCAGGAGTCTTAGGGCTATCTTGCATATCATCATAGAACCTTCATCTGGTGATGGATGGAGATAGAGACAGAGACCCACACAGGAGCACTGGACTGAGCTCCCAAGGTCCCAAGGAGGAGCAGAAAGAGGGAGAACATGAGCAAAGAATTCGGGACCACGAGGCGTGCATCCACCCACTGAGACAGTGGAGCTGATCTACGGGGAGCTCACCAAGGCCAGCTGGACTGTGACCGAAAAAGCATGGGATAAAACCGGACTCTCTGAACATGGCGAACAATGAGGGCTGATGAGACACCAAGGACAATGGCAGGGGGTTTTGATCCTACTTAATGTGCTGGCTTTGTGGGAGCCTAGCCAGTTTGGATGTTCACCTTCCTAGATATGGACGGAGAGGACCTAGGACTTAACACAGGGCAGGGAACCCGGACTGCTCTGTGGACTGGAGAGGGAGGGGGAGAGGAGTGGGGGGAGGGGGAGAAGGGTGGGAGGAGGGGGAGAAGGGTGGGAGGAGGGGGAGAAGGATGGGAGGAGGGGAAGGGAAATGGGAGGCTGGGAGGAGGTGGAAACTTGTTTTTTTGTTTATGTTTTTTTTTTCTTCTTTTCGCAATAAAAAAAAAAGAGTCTCATTACATAACCCCAGTAAGAGTCAGCCTATGATTAGTCCCCCAAACATAAGCCTCTTGACTGGTAGTGTTGTCAAAGTCCCAGATACTGCAATTTGGGTAGTTCAGGAGCTCGCTTCACGTGGGAGGCGTGGATCCAGGCAGAGATGCATACTTCATTCAGTTGTTCCCAGATCTGGCGTCTCACCATTTCAAGGGCCTTTAGGTGGGAAAATAAAGGTCTAGAAAGAATAGCATCAGGATTATACATTCCACCCGACTCGGTGAGCAGTGGCTGTTCTCCACATAGAATCTCATAAGGGGTGAGTTTAAATCGCCCTGGGGTGTTCCTAACCTGGAAGAGGGCAAAGGGAAGGAGGGCTGTCCAGTCATTCCCACAGGTCTCTTTTTAGAATTTATATTCATCCTTTCTACCTGATCTGACTCTGTGGTCGGTAGCACAATGTAATTTTTAATTGATCCCCAATTGGGTGGCCAGTCCCTGACTTACCTGGGCAACAAAGGCAGGCCCATTATCAGACCCGATTACCTTGGGTATCCCAAACCTTGGGAAGATTTCTTCTATGATCTTCTTAGCCACCACATTGGCCGTCTCAGTCTTGGTAGGAAAAGCTTCTACCCAGCCTGAAAAGGTATCTATAAAAACTAATAACTACTTGTTACCATACCTGGCTGGCTTAATTTCTGTAAAATCTACTTCCCAGTAGGCCCCAGGCTGGTGGCCCCTGAGCCTCTTCCCTGGAGTGTCCTGCATTAGTCATAGCACAGGCCTTGCAGCTTTTGACGACTTCTGCCAAGTCAGAGAGTCCCATAACATAGTAGTCGGAGGATATAACCACATCTTTTAGTTTCTTGGCCCCCAGGTGGGTTGGGTAATGTAAGTTGGTAACATACTTGTGCCCTTCTTTTTGTGGGAAGACTAGTTTTCCTCCTTCTGTCTCTACTACCCCATATGGGGTTTTCTTTAGCAGTCCTAATTTGCCCATAACTTGATAGTCCTCGGGGGTGTATTTAAAGTTGCTTTCAATGATATCATGATAATCTTTAGGCTCTTTGACTGCCAGAATCTTTGCTCCCTGGGCCGCCTGTTTAGCAGTTAGGTCTGCCATCTGATTTCCTTTAGCCGCAGAATCTCGAGCTTTTTGGTGTCCTGGACAATGTATGATGGCTACCTTCTTTGGCAAATGTATGGCCTCGAGGAGGCTCAAAATTTCTTCTTTATTTTTTCCTGCAGATGTTAACAGTCCTCTTTGTATATTGCTCTGTGTATATGGGCAGTGGCAAAAGCATACCTGCTGTCAGTTGAGACTTTTCCCTCTGCCATTCATAGAGCTGGTATCAAAGCCACAAGTTCAGCTTTCTGCGCCGACTACCTTCAGGGAGGCTATGCCCAGACTACTTGCTTCCCATCTGCCACTGCTGCCCCCGCCTTCTGCTTACCTTCAACCGTGAAACAGCTGCTGTCCGTATACAAGCTCGGACTTCCAGGCCAAGGCTGATCCTTCAGATCATTTCAGGTACCAGCTTCTTCTGCCAAAATGTCAGTGCAGTGATGGGTAGATGAGGTGTCATCAGTCTCAGGCAGTAGGGTAGCCAGATTGAGGACAGCAGGGGGAGCGAAGGTCACTGGTTCAGTCAACAAAAGGCTTTAATCACCTCAGGCTGGTTTGAGTCTCTTTCTAATAAAGGTGTGGGACACTCAAGGAAAACCAGGAAGGAATGAGTCACTTGTCCTTCCCCCAAATCTACAGTTCATAAGGTGGTCCACAGATATTTTTTCTGTCCAGTTGCTCCAATTACTTAGTCTTTTTTATTCTTTAACTTTCCCAAAGGTTATTTCAGCACAGAGTGCTCAGCCCCTTTGTCCACTAGAAAGTCCATAGGGGTCCTCTCCACAGTCAGGGTTACCC